AAAATTTCAATAATTCGTAGAAAAATAATAAAAAAATTAATAAAATTTCTATAAAATAAAAAATAAGAAAAAAGATTTTTAATTGTATTTGAAAATTAAAAAAAAAATAGTAAAACTCCATAAAAAAAATTAAAAAAAAATATGGATACCTTTCCCACCGCCTGTAATACCTCCCTGAACCACCACCTCCGATCGGTGTAAAAAATGCCATTTTTTTTTAAATTCCACAAAAATGGCATATTTCTCTATGAGAATGCCAACATTTAATTCTGCCAACTTGAATCCTTTTGACTTTTGCAAAAAATATGGCATTCATAATTTTTTTGGCATTTTTTTACCCCGGTGACAGGAGGTGATGGTACCGCCTCCCTGCACCACCACCTCCGACCGTTAAAAAAATGTCATATTTCCTACAAACTTCCATTTTTTTTCGAAAAATGCCAAAAATATGGCATATTTCTCTTTGACAATGCCAACATTTTTTTTCTGTCATCTTAAATCATTCTGAATTATGCCAAAAATATGGAATTCATAATAAATTTGGCATTTTTCCCCAAATGACTAGAGGTGGTGGTGCTGGGGCGGCAGAGGCGGCGGCGACAATTTTTTTTTTTGATTTATTTATTTTTTTTTATTTTTTTTTATTTTTTTATTTTTTTTTAAATTTATTATTATTCAAAAATTTTTTATTAATTTTTTGGTATATTTTACGAATTTTTATTATTTTTTATTATTTTATTATGAATTAAAACATTCCAATAGGTATAAGGGTATATTTGTCTAAGACACACATAATTAGTCCTATGGAAACATAGTTTATTTTTTGGTCCTATTTGTGCAAAGTGAGGCTCTTCCCCCAACTTGGACCTACCAGCAATGACTTTTAGTCCTATTTTGATAATTAACTCATTTAAAATTCAGGTTTTGATTCCAATTTTAATTTTCTTTGAATTAATTACTTTCAGCTTTTGATTCCCGTTTTTTCTATGACCACTTAGAGATTGTTCGATTCTCATTATGGACGGAAAGTTTTTCTCTGTCGAATTTGGATTTCAGTTTCAACTCATTTCCTCGGAAATGGTTCTCCTCCCATTCCCATTTTCTGATTTACACGTTTATGTCTTCAATAGTTGCCTATGCCATGATAGTTTATAACTCCCATCTTCAATTTGCTAGCTTTTTTAGGTTGTAATTCCCGTTCCTCTTTTACTTCCACTTTCAAATATGATAACTTCTTTTATTTGGTTTTGGAAATCTTATTCAAGCTTCATATAAAAAAGTTCACATCAATATTTCTTCTGACCTTTAGTTTACACGAGATATGCAATGTTAAAAATAGAGAACTGTTAAAATAGAGCCAGCCATAAGGGTATGTTTTAATTTATTCTTATTTATTCTTACTCTCTCTAACTTAAGGTAATAAGGTGCATATCCATATCACAAGCTATCGGCATTATGGTGATCTTATAATACTTCCCAGTCAGTGGCGTATCTACTATGGGGGCAGCGGGGGCAGCTGTCCCCACTCAACCCCAACCCAACCCCTATATATATGTCCAAATTTTTACAAGAAATTACTCAAATTAAGAGTTAAATGTAGAAAAAAATTCTAAAATAGGATTAGAAGTGTTTTCTTTAATATTAAAAGAATGAAAGGCTAAAAAATTCACTAAATTATGTTATGTTTAAGACTGTTTAACTTATATTTAGGTAAATTTATTACATTTTATTTGCGATTACATCTTTACACACCCGTAATATAAATTAATCTTCTTCTTTTTCATACTTGTACATAGATATTATAAACTAAATTTAATCAAACAATATTAATAATATGATTTGTTATTTGTGAAATATGAGACTAAATTGTAGTCAAGTTTGCCTCCACTCACCAAAGTTTCTGGATACGCCACTGTTCCCAGTAGAGGCTGACCTATGTATGTTTATCAATCATTTCTCATATTTGTAGTTTCATTTTTTTAATGATAAAATGATTTATGAATAAGGCGTTTAGTCCCTATCATTCATATTGAGAACATTGCTTTTAGTTTCCTTCCTTAAATTTTTAACTGGTTTGTCCAGCTGAGCCTCAACTATGCGTACATTCACAAGCCATCATTGGGAGAATTTCTTTGCACATGAATAACTTGGGGGTATCTGCATCACGTAATTATCTAAATATTTTGCATAGAAGTGTCATCTGTGTGCACTTTAGCAATTTTGGGTAACAAATTAACTTATAATCTTTTCTTCTCCAGTCGATTTACTTAATGGAGTCATATAAGTACATACAACAACAACATCCAAGACTTAATCCCAAAATATTTTGAGGTCGGCTAACATGAATTGATCCATGAAGTCATATACTCATATAAGTACATAACTTTGAATAATAAACTACTACTGTTATCGATATTAATCTGAAGTCTGAACTTGCAACTATTTATAGAGGCTAATACAATGCTTATATAAGGAGAGTAATGGACCTAAAGTCAGTAAGAATTGGAAACCTAAATTTTAAGCCTGATAGGATTAGGAAAGCCAAACCTTGAAACTATATGAATAGGAGACTATGATACTACCAAACCTGTAATACTTGAACCATTTTTTTATATGTTAACACAAAAGTTAGTGTGTGGAAAAAAAAACAACCCCCAAATGGACTTGGAATATCTTAATATGATGCTCTTTGAAGTTTAGGAAGGATTTGATTGCAGCTTACTATTATGTTGCAGTTTTGTCAGCTTCTCAAATTGCTAGCAGTGCGTTTACCTGGGGGACTGTAGTCGTCACTCCATTTTATACATTCATGGTTGCTGCACCGCGGTCTGGCTTGGTAAATCTCTCCATATGCAACTTTTATAAGTATCTATAAAAAATAGACCCTTTTCTAAGGTTAAGAATGATTTAGTAGACCATTTTCTCTCTATAAAAAAGGCGTTCACAGTTATCCCTGGGAGAAGGTTGTCATCTTGGAGGGGGATCAGAACTCCCCTGATTACATACATCCCTACACCATTTTCTTACTATATATTATGAAATAGTATAACAGACAGACAATTAGGAATTACGGGGTATCATTCAGTCCGTAGCCTCTTAATAAGCATGAAAGGGCTTTCCATTCCATTTGCTAAATAGCACAACTTAGCCCATATGGGCCAGGCCAGTCCACTATGTAAAGGGCTGGGCAACTCGGCATGGGGTAAAGTATTTGAACATTGATATGCACTATTTCCTAGTGGATAAAATAGTTTTTTTTTTTGTTTTTACTAGTTTTATTTATTTTAGCATGTAATCTTTAGATTTAATTACTTGTGCGTAGTTTGTATTTTTTATGTAAATTTGTTGTAAAAGGGTGTAAGAAAGTATTATAGGTAGTAGTACCAAAAGAAAGCAAGAAGAATCATGAAGATATGTGCTGGTACGGAATCCGGGCGGGTTGGAATAAAACTCAATCGGGTAAGAACTGACATCTAAAACTACCAGGAAGCTACCTATCGAAACCGGTCGGGTTTATACGCAACCCGGTTTGGTTTCAGATGACACCAGACAATAAGAAATGATCAAGATCAAAGGAACGTGAGAAATTTGATTGGTGCGAAACTGGTCGGGTTTAGTCAAAACCAGGCCCGTTTTGTTGTGATTTTGGCATTTTCCAAGCCACTACAGGGGAAACCCAGTCGGGGATCACCCATACCCGTGCGGATACCGGGTATGGGGTAATAGCACAAGTTGTATCCTAAGGGTATCCGACCCTGTAGCCTCCAAAAACCTATAAATGCACTTATACCCTCCTTTTCTTTCAGCTTAAGATATCCATTATCTCATAGTTAGGGAGTTGACAACTTGTATTCACTAGCATTGGGTCTAATTCTTTGTACTCACATATAGCTGAGTTAGACGCTAGACTCGGCTAGTCAGCAGGATGTGCTGTAATTATTCATTATTGATTAATAAGAACTCGTCCCACTTATTATCTCCTCTTATATTGCTTATACTTGTGCCATTACACTCACATCACTCACTCACATATCCATCAAAACCCAAGGGAAGGTGTTGGGTCCTTGGAGTCAGAGGAATTAACATCAACAAATGTTAAAGTTGTGAGTTATTTTATTAAACTTCTCTTCTTGAGTATTAACTCTTCCTTACTCATATCTTTGTGTTAATGTTGGGGGTGTTGCTAAGTGACGAGGTCTAGATTTGACTCCTGATATAATTGTTGAAGCATTAATTTGTTTTAAAATGGGACACTGATAAATTTTATGAAGCGCGATTTGGACTCTACTCGGCCCGTATGCGGATTGGGCCTTCTGGGGTAATTCGGGCCTGGTCTTGGGCCTAATATCCAAACAAATACTATCGTATTATTTTTTAAAAAGCTTCAGTGGGCCTAGGCCCTACCTCGCCTAAGGGTAGATTCGTCCTTGTCTCTTTTCACAAAAAAAAAATGCAAATCGACTTTGACTCTTTTGTAGTAATTATATATTCAACATTTTACTTCAATAAAAAAAAAATTCAAACACTTTCTCTTCAGCAGTTTCGGCTATTTAAGTCACCTCAGAAATTCAGCTCTTACTACCAAACAAGTCCTATGACACAATGACCCGTCCAAAGGCAATTTTGTAGCAGTGGTGGTGTGGCGCTAGACATTAGCATGAATTTTATAATTTTGAAAAATAAAAAGTACTTCAAGTAAGAGTAAAACATTGATAAATTTTACAAAATTATATTTTATTTTTAAAATATGATTTATTTGAGCATATGAAAAACATAGAACTTTTGCAATTAAGAACGGATGAGTCATATTTAGAAAGAAAATAATGATACTCATATTTGTGCATTTTATTTATGTTTTAATCCTATTTAAGATCTAATTCAAATTTATCTATATATTCTATATTTGAAAATAAATATTTTAAGGATATATGTATTCATGTAGTATTACTTTCTTACTTCTATCAAACATAATATATATTTTTATTTCTGAATGACAATCATGCCTTAACGGTATTTTGTTCATTTTCTTTTTAAGAACCACTCATATAGTCCATTTCGTAATAATGAATTTGGTTGAATCCCACAAAGGGGGTGTATTGTATTTGAAATTAGTGACGAACTGAAGCTCCTGGGAGAAAAGATGACGAACTGAAGCTCCTGGGAGAAAAGATGCAGGCCTCCGACCTGAAAACACGACCGGAATTGGTAGAAGCACCGGAAGCGACGCCGCTGCCTCCCGACGTTATGACCTGACCACCGTCGTGCACCTACAGCTGGATCATCTTCTGCCGGAGCGTCAGTTGGAGCCCAAGTTCAAACGCCGTTGTATGCGACCCGCCACCTCCGACAGAGCGCCATCAGTCTCATTCTTTGCCCCTCTGCCACTGCGACCATGAAAAAATTCAGATCCCGAATTCAAGATCCAGTATAAATGGAAGGATTGTTGCAAATTCTGCTAGCCGATCGAAGCAATCTAAGTCCACAATGACCCACCTCCGTTGAAGCCCCGCCTGCCGCCTCACTTCTGGTTGCTCCGCCGCCGTGCCGGTTGCTGGAGCCTGGGTCACGATCAAAGGAGTTTGACCTCAAATATCCTCCATTAATGGCCGCTCAAAGATCTCAGAAGGAAAGACTACCCCCAAAGCCGACGTCGACGTCACGACCGGAGGTCTCTTCCCTTTCCAATAACTGCCTTCCAGCGCCGCCGCTAACCTGTCGGTGCTCATCGATCAACTACACTTGCGGGACCGCCGTGCTTTGCTACTGCTGTCCCCACCGCACCATTTTCAACCGCTCCCCTGGATGGGTACAGTAGCGTTGTGCTACTTGGGTCTTGGTTGCAGGCAAGATCTGCTTGCCGGAGAGGAAAGCCGGCAGGAGCACGTTAGAAGGGAAGTTGGTCAGGCGTTAACAGTTTGTAGCTTAGGTCAAAGTTATTTGTGATGTGCTAGAGGACCAATTTCTACACAAGCCTGATTTCTACACAGGCCACAATTTCAGCCCACTTCAAAAAGATAAGTACTCTTTAATTTTCATATTACTTATATTTATGTAAATCATTTTTTTTTTTGTCGTGTGAATGTCACACAATCACGCACTTATGATCAAATGCCTAGTAGAGTGTGGTTTGAGACCCATCACTAGGATTTATAGCCCTGACCAAGATCAGGCACAAAGCCCCGACCAAGTCGGGCATGAAGACAAAGCCCCGACCAAGTCGGGCACGAAGACCGGTCTTAGTCATGCCTCGAGTGGCGACCGTTGCTTACGAATGGCTCACACATCCATTTTACTAAGTATATTATCATTACATTGGCAATTCACATGTTCACTTGTTTCGAGTAACGAACTCCCGATCGGAAACATAAATCCTGAGAAAAAATTTATATGTATGTTAAATGTGTAGGTAGAAGGATGACTTTACTCATTTTTACCTCGTCTCCACTCGCCTCAAGGAGTGGGGGACTGAGGGGTCACAATTTCTAGATGAGTAGAAAATGTCACGCATGAGCAGGAACGAAAGCTGAGTCAGATGAAGAGAAGTTGAGCTAGACAAAACTGATTATGGCGGAGGGAACTTACCTTCCTTGTTTCATGTTGGGGGCGCTAGGTGTACTCGTTTTCCCTTTATTAGGATTTTTTTTCCCACTGGGTTTTGTCCTAGTAAAGGTTTTTAACGAGGCACCTCCCCATCATGGACAAGGGTGGTGGTCCCCCGGCCGAAGAGGAAGAAACCAAAGCCAGAAGAACGTTGCAGATACAATTGTGGACTACTCCCTTTCACGGTTTCACCTCGAGTACTCTCGGCTCAGGGAGTGGGGGACTCCTGATGGAGTATATAGACTCCGACCCCCCGGTCTGCCGACTATTGGGCCTGGACAACGACCCACACACGTTCAGCGGATTCATATTATTGTACATTATTATTATTCAGATGTTCTAGATTAGTTTTTATATTATCCGTCCATTTATGTAACTGGGTCTGTCAGGCCCATATTAGAGGCCCATACCCGGATTTTCCCTGTATATACTTCTTATAGGAGGCTTGTAAACATAGGTCATAGATAACTCATAGTTCATTCACATTACACATATATCTCCTTCTCCATATTCTTTGTTCAATCTCTCCTTATTATACAGTATGGGTATCAATTATCCAACAATAACGTTGGCGGATAAATGGATTGCGGCCGAGAGTTTGTATCGGTGCTGGATCGTGAAGCCTTAGTCGGCCGCTCCGGCAGTGGTGGAGTTGGTATTCACTCATATTCCAAGAGCTCGTCCTCCTCCGGAACCACCTCCATACCAGTAAGAGTTTTGTTGAAAGATTTTATTTCAATATTATTTTCTCTTTAGTAGTACTTGTTTTTGTTTTAGTCCGAGTAGATTTGATTTAAATGTTTGAGTTCTTGGAGTTCTTTTGATAGGCAGTCTTTCAGATCCGTTCGTTTTAGGCTTAAATTTGCCCGTTTTAGGTTTAACGAGTCAGGTTGCTTTGTATGAGGTGACTGATTCTATGTCTACTCCTAGGGTTCACGATTGGATTTGTAATTTTTTTTATCATAAAACAGGCGGCTTTATATTAAAATCGAGAACACATACAAGACATAGAATTCTGCGTTCCTAGATGAATTATATTTGTTTCAATTATTTATTTTATTATTTCTTATCATATTATATAGAGATAATTACTCATGATAGGACTAAAAAAGAGGAATATTACATAGAACAATGAGTTTAAAATTTATGGAACACTAAACAAACACAAATCGAGTATTAAGCTATCAAATTTAAATTGAATAGAGGAATATTTGACTCGATTCATTTACAAACCGTAAAAAAGGTTGTAAATCATTGGTCAAGCCAAATAAAATTCGAAATGATTTTCCTCAATGGGCCTACACATCTTTTTCCTCAATTTTGTTTATCTTGTGGAATAAGGAAATTTTGCTCTTTTTCCTAAAATTCGTAATAAGTTCCTCCCTAAGGGAGTGTTTGCAACTGCTTCTGCTTAAAAAAAAGCACTTTTGGAGAAGTAAGGAAAAAGTGATTGGTAGTAAAAGTTGATAGTGTTTGAGAAAAAAGTGATTTTGAAAAGTAAAAGTTGGTAGTGTTTGGTAAAATAAGTGCTTTTTGTGTAATAGAAAAGGGAAAAACACTTTTCACACGCAAGCCGAGAAAAAGTAAAAATTGGTAGTGTTTGGTAAATAAGTGCTTTTTAAAGCCAAAAGCTGAGAAGTGCTTTTTTTTAAGCAGTTGCAAACACTCCCTAAGTCCCTAACCAAATCATTGGTCAAACCATATAAAATTCCAAATGATTTTCCCCATATATCTCTAATAATTAGACCCGTACTGTACTCCGTATATCACTCTATCTCTATCATAGGAACGTGATTCGAATGTGCTTTACCATGATTCTGCTTGCGGACTGTTGTGAATTCCATTTTAAAACAAAGCTGAAAATAGTGGTGTAGTCTAATAGTCTAATGCAATTACGGAGTATATTGTTGCGTGACGTTCTAATGTTGCAATTACATTTCAGTTTTTGGAATGGTTTCCCGCAGGGGTGGAGACAGGGAGGGGCTGGAGGGGGCCTCGGCCCCTGCAAGAGAAAAAATTCTTAAGTATATATTATGTATAATTTTTTTTTGATCTATAGAAAATATGTCGATATTTTAACTTTAGCCCATGCAATGTAAAATTTTTAAGGGCCGGCCCCTTTAACAATATATTTCTGGTTCCGCCACTGGTTTCCCGACATACAATAATTGTTGGCACTAATCTAAGAATCTGAATTAGACTTGATTGATGAGAAATTATACTAGATCTAACTATTAACAAGATGAGTTAAATGTTAAATACAAAACATGAAAAAATTTAGACCAAAAGAATTAAAAAAGAAGTTAAGTTGATGTGGGTTTGATCTAGGGTTTCAATTCACTATGGCCTTAATATAAATCCTATCGTGATAATTACTATTGAGAATATTGATGCAGCTTTATTGTTGGTGTATGCCAGGGGCGGAGCTAGGGAGGGTTAACATAGGCCTCGACCCACCCCAAATTTAAAAGTGCATTAAATTTTAAGGTAAAAATTTTCGTATAATTTTTTTCAAAAATATTCTATGTGAGGATTCTATGCCCAGTCTGGCCTAGTGCATTGGCTGCGCTCCTGACGTACGCGGTACTCTAGAATGCAAACTGATCACCCAATGTGTGGATTCTTTTGAAAAAATTAACAGAATTTATTTACTCCCTCCAGTCCCAAAATAACTTCACACTTTTCTTTTTGGGTTGGTCCAAAATAAACTTCACACTTCTATTTTTGGCAACTTTTTAATATAAAGTTACCGTTATATCCTTAGTTTATTACCTATTTTACACACACTTTCTCTCCCCCACTACACTTTATCTACTTTTTGGGGGGAATAATGAGAAAGTCAAAACAAAAAATTTCACTTTATTAAAAACTGTGAAGTCAAACAATGAAGTTCTTTTGAGACCGAAGGGAGTACTTAATATTTACAATTTTTTAAAATTTTGAGATAGACTAGTATGGCGCTCCTACCCCCGCCCATGAATTGAACATTATTTATGCCATGCATGCATGACCTCTCGCATATCTATATAATTAGTTTTATTCATTCATTCATTCATTCATTCATTCATTCATTCATTCATTCATTCATAGCTCTTATGTTTGATCTATTCCTACATATATACTTCCTCCGTTCTTTTTTAGTTGCGACGTTCTCTTTTTCACGCTTGCCAATGCACAACTTTGACTGTCACTATATTTAATTGTGTATTAGTAAAAACTTTTAAAAATGAGATTATGAAACTTTGTAATGAGACGAATTAAACAATATTTTTCAAAAAAAAATAATTCACATACATTAATAAATAAAATGTAGTCAAAGTAGAGTACATGAATAGTGTGCAAATAACTATTATGATACGGAGGATAGTATTTTGTTTCTTTGATAATATCAAAACCCTCAAAAGAGGCTGATCCTAACATTTTTTTTGTCTGAGTCGAACTTTACAAAAAGGCCCTTTAATATCATTAAAAATAAAAAAATACGTAGTAAAACAAAACATTTTATTGTCATAAAATAAATGTCAAACCACCTAATTAAAGACACATGTCTCATATTATTGTCCATTATTCTCAGGTCAACGTAAAAGGGGGCGAATAGACCCCCGACTAGACGAAGCTAGCCAAGACATCAACAGAACTCCCTACATCGAGAGAGACGAAACACCCCGGTGCACCAGTGCCTGGTAAAGAATCAACATATAACAAAGTCAACACATACAACCATAAGAGAAGAACAATTCAATTGGATCATACCTCTACCAAGAAACTTTGAGCATTGATATCACCATCAGATAGTATGGATCACTGCATCATTGTTGCCGAAGAAGAGTAAGGCCATAGAAGACGAATTATTACTCCTTTGCCGTGAACAATCGGAACAGATTGGAAGACGATGTCTTTCTACTTCTCGGCGCTAAGGTTCTCTCGCAACTAAGGATAGATTTGTTGCGCCTGCGAGTGAGTATGAAGACGGTTATGATGAGTAGCGGCGCCCCTATCTATATACCTTTTTTGAAATGGATAAAAATTTGTGGAGATTTAGAAAGAAAAGTTGCTCATTACTCATTTTTTAGAATTCCAAAACATTTTTTACTCTTAAATTGAGATTTTTCCTTATTTTATATTTTAATTCTTCTAATTTTGTCCGTCGTATAAAAGTGGAACCGGACTCGAGAGCCTATATCATACAACCGGGTGTACGTGCACCCGGCCCAACTAAGGAAGACAGCCCAACAATCAATACAGGCCAATTTTTTTCGGTGGCAATTTTGTAATTTAAGCAAAAATCGCGGCTTCTGCTAAATGAGTAATTGTGTAATTTTAATGAGCATCTGGCCTATTTTATTGAGTATTAGGAGACTAACAATGAGTTTCACGATATATGCTTCATATATTCTAATTCTCTTTCCTTTCCTTATTTTTTTCTTTTATAAAAACTTATTAAATTATATCTATAATTCACTCTTAATAATTTCAATATGCGAGTCTAATATAATATGATACTTTTGAAATATGCATTGATATGACATTGTAAAAATGAGCTTTACATCCGTACCAAATGAGCATACATAACTACAAAGTGTATATTGATATGAAAATCGTAAGGTTTTGTTAGTTGAACATCACGCCATTTTAATTGAGCATCAAACATCCGCTATTGAGATGAAAACCACAGTTTCTTGTGAATGAGCATTAATGAACTTTTAATGAACATCTGGTCTATTACGTTGAGTATTAGGAGTCTAATATATGAACATGAGACCGGTATCAGATGAGCATACGTAACTAACAAAATGAGCACTAATGAATTTGTTAGTTGGTTTGTTAGTTGAAAATCACGATATTTTCATTGAGCATCAAACATCCTCTATTGAGATGGAAATAATGGTTTCTGTTAAATGAAAAGAAAACTCATTTCTAATGTGGTATGATATGTTTGAAGTGTGCAACCTTTTAAAGTGAGTATAAAACAGTACTAAATGAGCAAACATAACTTACAAAATGAGTATAAAAAATTTAAAAACACATTTTTGTGTGCTCATTCATTTTGGACGTTATACTCATTTGAATTTAACATAAAACTCATTTCTATGGTACTCAGTATGTGCTCAATATGACGTTTTAAAATGAGCATAAAACCAATATCAAATGAGCATGCGTAACTTATAAAATGAACTATAGAAAAACAAAAAATAAATATCTAAAATATTTTATAATTGAATAAATAATAAAATAAAAAATAAAAAAAGAAAGAAAGAAGGAAACAAGTAAAAGCAAGAAAAGAAGTAAAAGAAGAAAAGAAGAAAAGAATAGATAAGGAAAAAACGTACTACGTAATTGATTAGCAATTTAGGAAATCAGAAACGAAAAGCAAGGAAATAGAAAAGAGAAAAGAAAACAAAACACAAATGGGAAAAGCAAGGAATCAGCCGACGTTCCTCTTCATGAATCAATTAGCAACCAGCAGCGAACACCAGTGACCAGCCGACGTTCCTCTTCGTATGGTGCCGAAGGAATCAGGGCAGCTCAGATGTGGACCAGCTTGGGAGAAGTTGAAAACAATTACAAAAATACCCGGTTGTACGGTGAGGACCGTACAACCGGGTGTACGATATATTTTGCCACCGGACTCAGGCCTATTATATTAGAAATAAGAAGGGTGTTTTCAATTCAAGCGATATTTCTTGTCTGTTTTGATCTAATCTAATCTAATTGGTCCGATAGATGTATAGTTTATGTGTATTTTACAAAATATCCAAGTCTGATATGATGTGATTTAATTCATTCTTAATCATTCTTAATTTATTTTTATTTTATTCATTCAATATGAACCACATCAAGTTACTTTTCTTCATGTCATTGTCCTAGTTTTAGTGGATGGAAGTAGTTTATGAAATTAATAGAGTCGGTGGGATTAAACAAAATCCATTGCGTTGACTTATGGTGCTGATCAGAGCACCTACGTTCGCTTACAGTCTTTCCACCTCAGCGCATACGTCGTCCCCTCGACCTACTACTCTATATAAAGGGAGCGGCTGGGGTTTACTATTCCATTCCATCCTCGATTGACTTACAATTTACTGTTCTTTTTCGTTTTGCTTCTAAAGATTTCGGATCACTATAGAAATGGCAGCAATTTCAAAGGAATCAGAGCTCCAAGTGAAGGCCTTTGGATGGGCAGCGAGGGACACCTCTGGTGTTCTTTCTCCTTTCAACTTTTCCAGAAGGTATAAATGCCAAACAATCTGTACATATGTGGGAATTTTTTATAAGATCCGTAAATTCAAATCTATTTTCATAATTTTCACTGCATAAGTAATTATTAATATCCTGGGGAATTTGAATCTGAGCAGGGAAACCGGGGAGAAGGATGTGCAATTCAAAGTCCTGTACTGTGGAATATGCCATTCAGACATTCACCAGCTGAAGAATGAATGGGGTTTCACAAAATATCCCATTGTTCCAGGGTAAGATGGTTTTTCAATCTTAGATCCCTACATCTCTTTAAAGCTATAATAACATTGGTTATTTAATCTCAGCTGTCTCTTGACATAATTTATGAACTAATAAACTACTAGTCAAAATCCCTAAATCTTCTTTTGTCGGTCCACAGTTTAGGGCAAAATTCAAGTTTTTAAATTAAACATGTCTATGCAGACACGAGATCGTCGGTGTAGTGACAGAGGTGGGGAGCAAAGTGGATAAATTTAAGGTTGGTGACAAAGTGGGCGTTGGGTGTCTAGTCGGATCCTGTCGAAAATGCGAAAGCTGTGCAGATCATCAAGAGAATTACTGCCCGTTAGGTGTTCAAACGTACAATGATGTTCGGACCACCACATACGGTGGTTACTCCGACATCATGGTTGTCGATGAGCACTTTGCGCTCCGGTGGCCTGAAAATTTGCCAATGGAGGCAGCTCCCCTGCTTTGTGCCGGGATCACAACGTATAGCCCATTGAAATACTTCGGACTCGACAAGCCGGGAATGCACATTGGGGTTGTTGGCCTAGGCGGTCTTGGCCATATGGCTGTTAAGTATGCCAAGGCTTTTGGATGCAAGGTGACTGTCATCAGCACATCTGATAGCAAAAAGAAAGAGGCTATTGAACGGTTTGGTGCCGACTCATTCTTGATCAGCCGCAACCCGGAAGACATGGAGGTTTGCAAAATATCTATAGCCTTATCTTACTGTTAAGGATGATTTGTGCTTTACTTGACTTGAATAAAATATGACTTCCAAAAAGAGTTGTAACATACGAAAGATTTGAGAAAGTGAAATCATTTATGATCACCTTCTCCCCCAACTTAGCGCTTTATAGTACTCATACATAATTAGGGATAATTATTTTAAAATACTATTTTTGATGGTTTTGAAGCAAAACTTATTTTAGAACTTATAAGAAGACATGTAACATATGCTAGCTTGCATTTTATATATAGGTATTTTTGGGTTGTATGTTTATTAATCACACATTACTATTATTGCTAGTAAAGTCGCAGAACTTGTTCATCTATTAATCTATTCTTTTAATTTGCTTAGGCGGCAGCAAACACACTACATGGGATAATAGACACAGTTTCTGCAGCTCACCCTCTTGTGCCTCTACTAAGTTTATTGAAAAGCAATGGAAAGCTCGTAATAGTCGGTGCACCAGAGATACCATTTGAACTGCCAGTCTTTCCATTGATCATGGGTATGCACATTCTTCTAAAAAACAACTCACACTCATAACTTATACATATTCCTTGTTCCACAAAACTTGTTCATATTGTACTTTTTCATCAATGATGGTCAAGTTTGACCAATGATATTTATTATCATGAATTTATTTAAAATATGAAGATTATATGAAAATATTCTTTGTGAATTTCCCCCCATAAAAGTATAGAATTTATAAATTTCATACACTAAAACCATTGGGTCCATTGTCCATAGTTTACCACTATTGACCAAGAAAAGTAACTAGGCCACATTTTGACATTTTGTGAGACTGATCGAGGCAGTGTATTATTTGAATACGTAAAGGGTGGTCTTTCATAACAATAGAAATTCTAGTCAATAAAAGAGGTTATTGTATGTGGGTGTTACATATACCTGCCATTAATGATGGAAGGATCACATGCAGGTAGGAAATTGGTTGTTGGAAGTTGCATTGGTGGAATAAAAGAGACGCAGGAAATGTTAGACTTTTCTGCCGAGAACAACATAACACCAGACGTGGAGGTTGTCCCCATGGATTATGTCAATACTGCACTCGAACGCCTCGCAAAAGCTCAAGTGAAATATAGATTTGTTTTAGATATTGGCAACTCACTGAAATCTGCTTGAGTATCTTGAGAGTGAGATCAACACAAATCTTGGCGGGATTATTTTATTCACTGTATTGTTCTGTGTTTCAAATTTATAATTTCAAATCTAGTTTGTTGTCCTTTTTGTTTTTAAAATATATGGAGTACTGAAGTACGAATAAAAATACAGAGTAATTCCATAAATGTTGCCACTCTCCCCCTATTTCAAATCCCGTTGTACACTTGTACTCAACCCTTTGACAAATTTTGTTTCAGTATGCATGTTATGAAATGATCATTGTTCCCATGGGCCATGTCGTCTCATCTATTTGGACTTTCATTAAGAATTATCCGGAGTATTATATAAAAAGTAGTTTCTTTTCTTGCAAGAATTTAGTATTAACTAAAAAATACCTCTCATTTTCCAAAAGCTTTAATATAGCGCAATTTAGGAGATTATTAGTACTGATTATGTACTAAATTCGTGCAATCAATATATTCCCTATAATTTATTATGGAGTAGCCTTTCTAATTCAATTTTACCGGGGAATATAATAATGAATGAAAGTATTCAACAACTAAAAACTTAATTCCAAAAATCACCAAATTTTGATGACATATCATACTCCATTCCTAAATGTTTGTCCTACTTTCCCGAAATGGATGTCCCAAATTTTTTTTCTACTTTTTTTCTTTCCTTATTTGACAAACAAATCTTTATCAAACAGTGTCAAACAGTGCAAAACAGTATCACTACAGTGTCAAAAAGTGTCGCTACAGTGTCAAACAGTGTTGCTAAAGTCAAATTCATTTCCTTAATATATGTGAAGTCAAACTAGGACAAACATTGAGGGACGGAGGTAGTACTTTTCTTAAAGTACTACCATCGAATCTGGTGGCAACTCAAGAGAATCATTAGCCAAAAGTCTTACAATCGAATCTGGTGGCAACTCAAAACTCTCCCTACAACCTGGCAAAGAAACAGTCGCTCGTGCAAG